CTGCTGAGCTCTGGTGATCCTTCTGCCTCAGCCTTCCAAGTAGCCGGGAATTACAGGCATGTGCTACCACGCCCGGCTGATTTTTTTGATTTATTGTAGAGATGAGGTCTCGCTGCCCAGGTGGGTCTCAAACCTGTGGGCTCAGGCAATCCACTCACCTCAGCCTCCCGAAGGCGCGGGATTACAGGCTGAGCCACTGAGCCCAGCTAACAATGTTTTTCAAGGCAGCTGTACAATAATATATTCCTACCAGCAATGAATGAAATTCCAATTTTTCAATAGCTGTCTTTTTTATCTGTGGAAGTGGTTGGTATCTCATTGTGGTTTCAGTTTGCATTTACCTGATGACTGATGATTTCCAGTATCTTTTTGTGTGCTAATTGACCATTTATATATCTTCTTTGGAGATATGACAATTTATCCATTCTAAAAAATTGAGTTGTTTGTCTTTTAAAATTGAGTTACTTGTCTTTATACTGTTGAGTCATAACAATTCTTTTTATATTCTAGATAGTTGACCCGTATCGGATATATGATTTGCAAATCTTTTCACTTTCTTCATAGTGTCCTTCGATGCACAAAAATTTTTAATTTTGATAAAGTTCAATTTTATTTTAATGAAGTCCAATTCAACATCTCTGTATCAAAAACCCTGGGCCATTTTGTCTTTTGTCTCTTGTGCTTTTGGTATCATATCTAAGACACCATGGCTAAACTCAATCCAGAAGATTTATACTTATATTTTCTTCTAAGAGTTTTATAGTTTTAACCCTTGCATTTAGGTCTATGATTCATTTTGAGTGTATTTCAGGGTATAGTGAAAGGAAGGGGACCAACTTCATTCTTTAGCCTGTGGATTTCCAGCTGTCCCTGAATCATTTGTTAAAACGCCTACTTTTCCTCCATTTGATTGTCTTGGCACCCATGTTGAAAATCAGTTGCCCATAGTTGTAAAACTTTATTTAGGAACTAGTCACTTTTTAATCAATGCTGGATGGCAAAAATTGAGGTGATATCTTACATTGTTCTGGGCTTTCCTGTCTCAGCATTTTCCATCTCATAATTGAGCATTAGTGATGATTTACTTAATGTCTACATTTCCCACCAGTGGACATGGTCTTTGCCAGCAGGTAAGATGGCGTCTTGCTTATTGCTGGCTACACAGAGCCTAGCTTCACGCTTGACACATGGATGTGCTCAAGCAGGCTTTGTTAACTGACTTATTGCTTCTAGTGTGGACCTACTGGCTGTGGTCTAGATTAGCTTTTGTCTTCATAAAATGACTCTGATGACTTCTGGGATCATGATAGCTGTGGGGGCTCCAGAACAATTTTCTTTCTAAATATCAAGAGATAACATATACAGTGGGTATCGGCTCTGGGTGCATGCATCTCCAGATATTTCTGGAAAAGGACTGAGGGATAACCCTGCTACATCAGGCAGGCCTCTTCTGAGGTCATCAGTTGTCTTAAGTGGCCGTTTGTGAGGAGATAGGAGCATTTAGAGCAATGTTTCCATCACAAAATTCATTTCATTTACCTCTTCAGGAAATGCCTTACCTGAGCCGACAGATAAAGACTCCTTAGTGCCACACCACTGCTCCCACTAGCTCACTGAAGCCAGCATTTTTTTTTTTTTTTTTTTTTGAGTTGGAGTCTCACTCTGTCACCCAGACTGGAGTGCAGTGGCTGCTCCCGGCCACCGCAGCCTCGACCTGCTGGGCTCCGGCGAATCTTCCGCCTCAGCCTTCCAAGTAGCTGGAACTACAGGCGCGCGCTACCATGCCCGGCTAATTTTTTTTAAATTTTATTGTAGAGATGAGGTATATTTTTTTTCATTTAATTAAATGATCTGTGGTATTGCTGCATTGTAAACCCTTCAGAGTATGCCTTGACAATAGTTTTTAAAGGAAGAAAAAGCTTTTATTTGAAAGTAGATTAGATATGTAGCTGAGAGAAATTTGGGCTGTACTAGGTTTTTATACATTAACTGTACATGTCCCAATCTAATATCTTATTTTTATAACCAAATTTGGTGACACTACCAAAAAAGAATAAAGCAATGCTTTGAAAACTGATTAAATAGATGTTGCTCTGAAAACTCAAATAATTGGTATGAGCCAGACTCGGTGGCTCAGCCTGTAATCCTGCCTTGGGAGGCAGAGGTGAGTGGATTGCCTGAGCCGGTGGGTTTGGGACCCGCCCGGGCAACTTGGCAAGACCTCATCTCTACAATAAATCAAAAAATCAGCCAGGCGTGGTAGCGCGCCCCTGTAGTTCCAGCTACTCGGAAGGCTGAGGTGGAAGGATCGCCGGAGCCCAGCAGGTCGAGGCTGCGGTGGCCGGGAGCGGCCACTGCACTCCAGTCTGGGCGACAGAGTGAGACTCCGACTCAAAAATAAAAAAACGTTTCAACCTATGTAGTCTTCTGACCTATAAGCAACCTATTAAGAACAGACAAAATTGCCGGGCTCGGTGGCTCAGCCTGTAATCCCACGCCTTTGGGAGGTTGAGGTGAGTGAATTGCCTGAGCCCGAGGGTTCGAGACCCACCTGGGCAGCGAGACCTCATCTCTACAATAAATCAAAAAATCAGCCGGGCGTGGTAGCGCATGCCTGTAATTCCGGCTACTCGGAAGGCTGAGGCGGAAGGATCGCTGGAGCCCAGCAAGCGAGGCTGCGGTGGCCGGGAGCGGCCACTGCATTTCAGTCTGGGTGACAGAGTGAGACTCCAACTCAAAAAAAAAAAAGAATAGACAAAATTAATTAAACTGTGAGCTCTGACTTCAGAAAGGCAAAACCACTCAAGCTAAGAGATAATTTTGCTGCTTTTCCTTGCATTTAAATGTCTGCAAAGAAGAGTGTCTTAAAATTTGAAGACCTTTTATTTTATTTTACTTTTTATTTTTTTGAGTTAGAGTCTCACTCTGTCGCTCAGACTGGAGTGCAGTGGCACGCTCCTGGCCACCGCAGCCTCAACCTGCTGGGTTCTGGCGATCCTTCTGCCTCAGCCTTCCAAGTAGCTGGAACTATAGGTGCATGCTACCACGTCTGGCTAATTTTTTTGATTTATTGTAGAGATGAGGTCTCACCAAGTTGCCCAGGTGGGTCTCAAACCCGCGGGCTTAGGCAATCCACTCTCCTCAGCCTCCCAAATTGCTGAGATTACAGGCTGAGCCACCGAGCCTGGCTGAAGACCTTTTAAATACCTCCAAATGTTCAAGACTCAGTTGATTTGAATCCTCATAAACAGACATTCTTGACAATTGACACTTTCCTTGAGCTTTGTTGAATCTACTACGCTGTGCCAGGTTATTAAATACTTTGCACTACTCTCACGGTCATTGGTTTATATGTTTTTAGTTAATCAGTCATTAGTAATGAAGAGGCTGCTGCCTCCTTAAGGGTGATGACTGAGGCATTTATGTTTTCTGTATCCTGATGCATAAAAACAACATCATCTGGAGCCTACAGCAAGCACTCTCAAATAATATTGGACAGATGAGACCAATATAAATAGCATTTGAATCACCAGAACCTAGTTCTCTAGGTGAAACTTTCCATTTTGCAAACAAAGGAAACAAACAGAGGTTTGAAATAATTTGCTTTGGGGATCTTGAAAAGTTGGAAATTGGAAAATAAAATCTAGCTTTCCAAGGCTGGACAGCTTGCCTTTAATTTTTTGCTGTACGATATTTCTTTTCCAAAGTAGGCATATATGAAATACCAGCACTGGGCTTTGAATTATTCAAATTCCACTTTGTACATCCTCCCTTGTGCCTACTTGGCCCACTGTGGGTGCTCAGGAAATGCTTGTTAAGTAGCTCACCACTCTTAATAAGAAACCAGGGAATAAGAGTGTTTAGCATTTACGTTTAATTAAAGTTCTAAACTTTCAGTATTGCTTCTTTACATCCATTCTCAGTCTTTCCCACTTCAACTTGTGACTTGGAGTTATTTTTGAAAATGTCATTCAAAAGGGTAAATACGTGACAATAAAAGGATGAATTTACTGAGGGAGTGAGTTTGAGTTCTGATCTCTCCCGATCTCCTTGTTCGAAAAACTCACTGGTTACAAGTTCAGCCACCTGAAAAATAGAAACATTTTAATTTATGGTTATGTGTAGCTTGTCATGACGCCTGGAAGTTATTTCTTATATCTTTGGTGATTATCTTAAACACAGACAAACTTGTAAAAAGCTTATAAGGGCCCAGGCACAGTGACTCATGCCCACAAACCCAGCACTTTGGGAGGCGGAGGCAGGAGGATTGCCTGAGCCCAGGGGTTCAAGATCAGCCTGGGCAACTTGATGAGATCTTCCTTGTCTCTACAATTAAAAAAAAAAAAGTAGGCGGGCATGGTGGCTCGCGCCTATAGTTCGAGCTACTTGGAAGGCTGAGGCAGAAGGATCGCCCGAGCCCAGCAGGTCGAGGCTGTGGTGGCTGTGAGCATGCCACAGCACTCTAGCCTGGGTGACAGAGTGAGTCTCCGACTCAAAAAAATAAATAAAAATAAATAAGTAAATAAATAAAATTTTAAAAGCTTATAAGGAAGTACATTAACCTTTTGTGTTTAAAGATGTTACTGAATGTAATCGATTAAACTGATTTCTTTTTAATTAGGATAATTTATGCAATGTATTTTTAGACACATGCCAACAGATGATCTTCCACAGAACAGCTTCTATATTCCATTATACAGAAAAATGAAGCAAATAATTTAATAATAGCTTCTGTGATTATTATATATTCTTATATTATCTAATGACAATTTAGCCAACTTTTGATTATTGCTATGTAGATTCCTTATTTTGTTGCATACTTTGATCTTAGCCTGGCTTCATTTTCCACCACAAAAACTCCTTAACTCCCATCCCACCAATGTTTGTGTGTACTCTGGAAGGGATAACCCCAGGACACATCCTCTGCTTCCTACTGTAGCAATCAATCAAGAGGCAGGACTTATGCTAGATTCATGTTTTATACCAAACTTTTACAGTATGTCAAGATACAGTTTGAAGACTGTGATTTAGTCTTTAGGCTGTCTGAATGGACTGTATGTACTAAAAATATGCATTTATGATAGGCTCTAGTTGGTACAAGCACAATGGATGGTTGTTCTACCCTAAACCATAAAGACTTGCATTTTTCTTCTTTTAATCCATTAGTGTGGGTGATCAGCAGCTACTGAACATAACCAGTTAAAGAGAATTTTTTCTTCCCCAAGCCTGCACTTTTTAGGATAGTTTGTGGGAAGCAAACCAATAAAACAGATTAAGTGTTGAACAGCTATTTTCAACAATGCTGTGGTGTATACCTAGGACATTTCTGAGATGAACTAGCTGGATTTACAAAATACTGCAAGAGTAGAAAAAAATCTCAGATAACTACATGACAAGAAGACCTGGACCCCTAAACTAATTTTTCTCTGTTCCAGGCTCTATAAAGATCAGGTTCTTAATTCTGTCAAAGGTGAGATGGGTTTAATTGTGATCAAATGCATAGAATCAAGAAAACTTACCTAAGTCTATCTCTCAAGAAATTTTGTCAACCATGATCACAGATAAAACTTAAATACAACATTAAACTCACAAACACACACAATACACACACACATCTGTGGGTAGCAGGTATGCAGTCATGTATAAAGAAATCACCTTCAGATTTCTAATATTTCTAATAAAAAAACATGGATCTCTTTCTTTTCTTTTTTTCTTTTTTTTGAGTTGGAGTCTCACTCTGTAGCCCATACTGGAGTGCAGTGGCCGCTCCTGGTCACCGCAGCCTTGACCAGCTGGGCTCCAGCGATCCTTCCGCCTCAGCCTTCCAAGTAGCTGGAATTACAGGTGCGTGCTACCACACCCGGCTAATTTTTGATTTATTGTAGAGATGAGGTCTCGTCAAGTTGCCCAGGAGTGTCTCGAATCCGCAGGAAGAGGCAGTCCACTCACCTCAACCTCCCAAAGGCGCGGGATTACAGGCTGAGCCACCGAGCCCGGCTATGGATCTCTTTCAATAATTCATCTCCATAAAAGTAGTCTCAACTGACTCAAAAATCCATCTGTCCCCAATCTCTGGTTCCAATCCCTTCATTTGTACGTGTGCCCATTTTCTAGGACTCGATTCGCTTCTCCCCAGTCTCTGCTGCTACCTTTCTCATTCCAGTGCACCAGGCTTCTCTCTTCCTTCTCTGACTTTCCTTCAAAGAGAAAATAGTCCCCTAAGGGTATGGCCTCATTTATTTAGTTCCCAGAACTCTCCCTCAGATTGCTTTGAGCTGGATCTTTTGCATTAAAGAATGTAAATGTGCACATCAGGGACCCCAAGGTAGGAGTCCTGCATAGGTCCGTAGCCCCTGGAAAGCAAAGAAATTAAAACAAAATCTTGTCTTTGCTCTTTCCAAAGTGGTCCTGGGTATTTCCCCTGTGCTTCTTTCACAGTTTAACTTGTACCACTGTTTTGTTTGTACTTAAAAACCTAATCAGGAACATTAAGTGGCTCCTGATTGAATTTTTTATTAAAGAAGGAAATTGAGATGCTAATCAGGCCTTGGGGGAATCACTGGGGAAACCCACACGCTAGAAGTCATGTTTGTGAGGAAGGAAAGAAAAGTCAAAAAGACCCCAATAGAAAACATTTGGATAAGGAATTTAAAAAAATAAAGGAAGTTAGAAATATATTTTTCAAAGAAGAGTCTATTGTTTTGTCCAAATGTTTTCTAAATTCAATGAGTATATTTTTAAACATATCTTAACTTATTCAATTTGGAGATAAACATGAATGAGATCTCCAGCTTAGAACTGTGAAAGTTTTCTGATGGAAACCTTTGGAAAAACATGGCTTTGTGTTTTATTTCCCTGAACTCTTCCATTTCTGCATGTATCAGCAGAACTTCACATCCCAAACATAAAATAATATTTACACTAGTGATGGAGAAGACCACCTACAAGTGACTATTGGGCCTCCCAAGTTGGTCTAAAATATAAATGCAGAAACATTTTTCCTTCCAAGTACTTTGCCCTTTCACTTTCCTGTTCCAGTGGGCTGCTGCTCCTTTCGTTCTTTTTTTTTTTTTGAGTTGGAGTCTCATTCTGTCACCCAGGCTGGAGTACAGTGGCATGCTCACAGCCACCGCAGCCGCGACCTGCTGGACCTAGGTGATCCTTCCCCCTCGGTCTTCCAAGCAACTGGAACTACAGGCATGTGCTACCATGCCCAGTTTATTTTCTGATTTGTTGTAGAGACGAGTTCTCACCAAGTTGCCCAGGCTGGTCTTGAACCTCTGGGCTTAGGCAGTCCTCTCGCCTCGGCCTCCCAGAGTGCTGGGGTTACAGGCTGAGTCACCAAGCCCGGCCTCCTTTAGCTCTTGACATGCACTTCATGAACTGGGGTTTCTAAAGATCCTGGCACATCATACCTCACCCCACTGCCTCTCTGGTCTTATCTCTTTTTCTCCCACTTCTCCAACTATCTCGCACTCTCACCCCTCTTTCCCCTTCTGACCCTGTCATAAATGACCACAAACTTGGCAGCTAAACAACAGGAATGTATTTTCTCCTAGTTTGGGGGGCCAGGAGTTCTGCATCAGTCCACTGGCCTTCTGCTATGATTTCTAGCAAGGTGTCAGTAGGAATGTGCTCCCTTTGGGGGATCTTGGAGAGAAACCGTTCCTTGCCTCTTCCAGTTTCTAGTGGCTGCTAGCATTCCTTTGCTGTGGCCTCTGCTCTCTCTTCTTTTCTCTCTCTCTCTCTTTTTTGAGACAGAGTCTTACTCTGTTGCCCAGGCCTGAGTGCAGTGGCAAACTCACGGCCACCGCAGCCTCCATCTACTGGGTTCAGGTGATCCTTCTGCCTCAGTCTTCCAAGTATCTGGAACTACAGGTGCACATCACCACACCCAGCTAATTTTTTGATTTATTGTAGAGAAGAGGTCTCACCAAGTTGCCCAAGCTGGTCTCGAACCCCTGGACTCGGGCAATCCTCTCACTTTGGTCTCCGAAAGTGCTGGGATCACAGGCTTGAGTGCTGGGATCACACTGGGCCTGCTCTTTCTTATAAGAACACTTGTGATTGGATTTAGGGCACACCTGGGCAATCCAGATGGTCTCTAGTTGAAATTCCTAATTTCTTCACATCTGCACAGATACCCTCTCCTTCTAAGGTAATGTTTACAGTTTCCAGGGATTAGGACCTGCTATCTTTGCATGGCGGTTGTTCAGCCAACTGTAATAACTATACCTACCTCAAAGGGAGGAGGATGAAGGATTAAATTAGGATATATATGAAATGTATCTTATTTTCCCTAAAATGCCAAGTCGCTGTTTTGGATGCCACACTCCACATAGTAGGTGTCTCATACAACATAAAGAGCTATTAACCTCTAACCTCTAAACATCACAAGAAACCAGGGGTCGGATCTTAAGTTGAATAGTTACTTGATTGAATAGTACTCTTGCTATAGAACTAATGTTTTACGGCAGAGGAATGAGATAGGTGGTAAGGACATGATTTTTTTTTCCTATTCATTAAATAGAATCCTGCATACTTTGGCTACAGAGCTCTGTGATCTCTAAACAGTATTTGAGAAAAAAAAGAATTTCTTTTTTTCCTTCATTTTATTTTTCAAATGTAGAAAATAGGACCTGGTGCTAAGACATGGTTACCTAGTCAAAAGCGCTATCTTTGAAAATCTTGCCTTAAGAAATGGTCAATGTTTTAACTGGATTTAGCACATTAAAAAAAAATCTTACAGAGTTAGAAATATTATTGCTCAGAGGAAGCGTGATAAAGAAAAGGCTGTGCAATAAACTATGTCGCGCTGAAGCCTCCTGCTATTTTTTACACCATGTTAATACTCATGCAAATTGACTAGGGTTTCAGTGCCTGGTAGATGGGGCTCTGGGAATATTGTCTCCCCCTTACCCCCCACCCCCACCAGTTCCTCCTCCGCTGAGCTCTGCCATTAATCACCACTTGCCTGTCTGGAGATCTCCCACGGTTTGGTCACGGCTCCAAGGTCACAGGCTGTCATTAACATTGATCTGAAAAACAGAACCAAACAAAACAGCCTGAATAATCTTTTGTTGCATTCCTAAACAAACTCGTCCTAGATACATAAATAAATAAAATGGAAACGAGACCAGCTCACATCTTCTTTCCTCAACAAGGGGCAGCACTGTTTATAGTCCCTGCGTAAGCTTCTCCATCATGTGGCCACACCGCTTAGGAAGACAAAGCTCTCACACATCCTCTGGTGGCCCTTTTGTTTTGTCTGCAGCAAATCAAGGAAAGCAAAGCACTGCTTTCTTTACACCTGAACGGAGCAAGCTCTGCTTAAAATAATTTATAAGGGACAATGCTGTTGCTTTTTAAAGCATAAGCAGAAGAACCAGTATATAACACTAGAGACATGGCTGATGAAACCATTTACCAACTTATCACTGATTGATGGGAATGGAAGAAAACTTATACCAAAGAGGCGAGGCCCACACCACAGAAGGACACCTTCATTTTCAACTGCTCTGAAGAGCTGAGATTTACGGTTCAGAGCCATACTGTTCACTCCAGTTTACATCTGGCCCCAAGCATGGTTTATAAGCATGATGAAGAAGAAACATGCTCAGTCCAATTTTCATTAATTTGAGCACATAAGAAAGCCTAAGGAGGAACAGAATCAGATTTTTGAGGGGCAGATTTGGCTAGAATTCACCCTGAACTGTGGAAACATAAGGAACAATTCAGATAACTCTGGTGCTTAAAATTTGATGTGGTGGGAGGGAGAAAAATAAGGCACACTCTTTGTCCCAAATCTGCTTTCTTTGTGCTGAACCCAGCAGTACGTGATGAAAAACAACGCAGGATATGGGTCGGGGAAGCACATCTTGGCTAACGGCTTTTGGAAGAAAGGGGCGTGTTGTTAAAGGTCAGAGGGCTGTCCTAATGCCGGGGGTAACATTTCATGCCCTGGAGGATGAAATGTCTTAGAAACATGTCTGCCACCCAGATGGCAGCATGCCTAGACGGCAGGGGGTTTGTGTAACTTCCCCCAGGAAACCCCTCCAAGGAACAAGGCAGAGTCTCAGATAACAATAGGTCATTCATGGCACAACCAGGCAGCACCAGCACCAGCAGCTCTGTGGACTCAAGCAGCATTGATGAAGTATCTAATTCCAAACATCCCTGTATTAAGTGCTACGCTAAGAGAGATGTATCAATCTACTCCTCACTGTGACCTTCTGGAACAAGCATTTCTATACTGTTCACCATGTGTTTGCCTCTGTGCTAAGCACCATAGTGACTACTAACTACTAACTAAGTGAATCCTCATCACCACCCCGGAGGTGGGGGCTATTAATCTTATTTTACAGACAAGAAAACCGCAGGGAGAGACTGAGTAACTTGTCCAAGGTGAGTAAAGGATTCAGTATTCTGGGCTTATCGCAAAACTACCAGACCCCCTCTTGCTACACCCGTGTGCCTCTCATTTTTGGTTCTGTCAGTACCCAAGAGAGACAAGAATGTGGGTAGATGCATTGAACTTTTAGTTCTGCCCAACTGAAAATCTGAAACTTACTTCTCACATTCATATCACCATTAATCAGTCAATCAACAAGTTTTTTGAGTATCTGCTAGGTGCTCAGATGATCATTCTAAGAGCTACCATTTATTGGGCAGTCACTACAGAATGACTGGCACAGTCTCTATATGAGGTAGAGATGCTATTATTATCTCCATTTTACAAATCGAAAAATTAAAGTTCACAGAGTTTAGGTAATTTGCCAAAGGGCTATACAGCTAGGAAATGTCAAAGCTAGGACTGGAATCCACAAAGTTTGACAAGAGAATTTTTGCTTCAAGGAATGCTTATAGTGGAGGAGAAAATCTCCCCAGAGAAGGAAGAGGGAAAGAATGAGAGGTAGGATGGGTGGAGGGACTGAAATATTGATCTAATTAACACTGAGAAGTCAATCAAGGCTGGGGACTCAGGAGGGACCTGGCTTGACTTCTAGAAAGAAAACTTTAGGTTGTGGTCATGAAAATGGGTTCAAGAAGGAAAGAGAGGAAAAAAGGAGACCTGTTGGAAGCATAAATGGATAAGAACCTATAACAAGAAAGGGAGAATAGAAAGGCAAGGACAAGGATGGAAGTTACAAAGAAAGAACTGATGGAGACAAATGAGCAGTTTTATCTTATTTTTTACATAAAGCCTAAGAAGTGAAAGGTCTTTTTGAGAGTAAGAGAGCAGGGAGTTTGTAGCAACTGCTTTAGTCTGAAGTTCCCATAATTCTAGTTCCATTTACAGTTGTGTCAATCTGTTTATTGCAATTGAATGAATGGTCATGCCCTTTCATTTCTATCTTAAGTGGGTAGAAAAAGAACAGTGATGTCTCCAGCCTATTTAATAGTTGAAGCAGATTGCCTTTAACGTACTTCTCTTCTATCTGCCAAAATTATTTTTAAAATGATCCTGTGATAATCATTGTCTTCTTGATTTGTTCTGTAGCTTTATTTAGAGTTGGAGTCTCGCTCTGTCGCCCAGACTGGAGTACAGTGGCATGCTCCTGGCCACCCCAGGCTTGACCTGCTGGGCTCCGGCAATTCACCTCAGCCTTCCAAGTAGCTGGAACTACAGACATGCACTACCACGCCTGGCCAATTTTTGATTTATTGTAGAGACGAGGGCTTGCCAAGCTGCCCAGGCGGGTCTCGAACCCACGGACTCAGACAATCCACTTGCCTTGGTCTCCCAAAGTGCTGGGATTACAAGCTGAACCACTGAGCCCGGCCTGTTCTGTAGTTTTAAATGATTCGCAATTTAAAAGAAATAAATTGTAATTTAAAAGATATATTCAAATTCAGTCAACGATTTCATGTATGGACTGAAATTTACACTTGCCAAATAAAAAATACGACACTTTGCAGTCTGCACTGTTTCACTGTTTTAAATTTCAAACACAAATAAAACCCACAAATGGTCACATAAAATGACAGAATGGAAATAGCTCGAGTTATGTTTCTTCATCTTTACCATAACTGTGCTATCACTGTTTGTTCTGAATACAGTCTTTCAAAGCAAGAATATGAAGTTCTGCAAGGTTGGAGACACACACTACACCTGGAGAGAGTTCAAAAGGTTCCGAACAGTTCGGAACTTACTCTTGAAAGTGTGTAGTTGAGTCCCCCTATGTCAGGGACTGACTTATAACTGGGCATTCCTGGAATGAATTTGTATTACAATACTTATACAAAGAAAGAATAAATGACAAATGTGTTGAGTTGAAGCCTGCATATCAGTTATTTTGATTCTTAACAGTAACCTTGGTAATTTATACCAATATATACCAACAAAAGACGTCTCTTGGGAGGAGTATCTCATCACTGACTTTGGAATTACTGGTACATGGTGATAATTAACAGCAGGCTGACTTTTCTTGGCTTTATTGTTATTTATTTATTTATTTTTGAGTTGGAGTCTCACTCTGTCGCCCAGACTGGAGTGCAGTGGCCGCTCCCGGCCACCGCAGCCTCGGCCTGCTGGGCTCCGGCGATCCTTCCGCCTCAGCCTTCCGAGTAGCCGGAATTACAGGCATACGCTACCATGCCCGGCTGATTTTTGATTTATTGTAGAGATGAGGTCTCGCTGCCCAGGCGGGTCTTGAACCCGCAGGCTCAGGCAATCCACTCACCTCAGCCTCCCAAAGGCGCAGGATTACAGGCTGAGCCACCGAGCCCGGCTTTTATTGTTATTTTTAAATTCTCTACCAGTAGTGCTCCCTCAGAGCCCCACCCTTGGTGCACCGTGGTCAGAGTCTATCATGAAATGGGGGAGGGAAGGCAGATGGGGAGGGGAGAGCATCTGGGGTGCCTCTATTTTGCATACTGTTCTTCCAAATAAGATATTTCTTCCGTATGGGTTCCTTGACAAAAAACATCCAGATGGAGATATTGAATGAAGACTGGCGTTTGAGGTATGGAACTGAGAAGAGAGGCTAAGCCCGAGAAAGGGCCTGGGGGTTGTTTAAGAAGAGATGGAGCCAGGCTCGGTGGCTCAGCCTGTAATCCCGCGCCTTTGGGAGGCCGAGGTGAGTGGATTGCCTGAGCCCGCGGGTTCGAGACCCGCCTGGGCAACTTGGCGAGACCTCATCTCTACAATAAATCAAAAAATCAGCCGGGCGTGGTAGCGCGCACCTGTAGTTCCAGCTTGGAAGGCTGAGGCAGAAGGATTACCAGAGCCCAGCAGGTCGAGGCTGCAGTGGCCGGGAGCGTGCCACTGCACTCCAGTCTGGGCGACAGAGTGAGACTCCAATGCAAAAAAAAAAAAGAAGAGATGGTAGATGGTAGTTGAAGCCATGAGCACATCCAGGAACAAGAGAAGTGCATCAAAGACAGGTCCTCGGGGGACAGTTATGTTTAGGGGGTGGTGGGGAGGAAGAAGACCTAGAGAAGGACAAAGAAGGGAAGGAAGAGTCAGGAGGAGAGGAGGAAACCCAGAATCGTATGGCTTTGCAGAATTCATGGCTGGAGAGGGTTTTAGAAATTAAAGGCCAACTCATTAGGGGTTGTACAGAGGTCAAAGAAGCTGAAGAGAACAAAAGTCATAGGACTTGATACTTGGGAGGTGAGTGATAACTTTCAAAAGAGGCTGAAATCACATTTTACAGACTTAATTCCTCAGTAGAGGAATGACCAAATACTCTGTGGTATATCCATATTTTGGAATGCTGTGCAATGATAAAAAGATGATGAGGAATGAACATGGGAAGAATTCCAAGGCATAGAGTTCACTGGTATGTAAATATATAATTTATGTGAAAACAAATAATGAAAATACACACTTAGCAGTATTTTCCCCAAAGGTACACAAATATGTAAATGTTTTAGAAATGATCTGAAAAGACACAACAAATTGATAACAAGGTATAGCTGTGCAACTATATGAGAATTGGGGGTAGAGCTCAAAGGAGATGTGGGGGTTCATCTGCAATATTTTAATTTGTTACAGAAAAATACATTCATATAATTACTCATGGGATTAAAAATTATACAAAAAGAAAGCAATTGCCTTGCAATGAGTTAGAAAGTGGGTGAGTGGAGTGAAGGGAAGAAGAAAACTACGATGGGGCTAGAGAAAAGGCAGCTTTTAGGGATGAGTTTTGATTGGGGAGATGGAAGCATATTTTTAGGTCTAGAAAAGTCACAATGAAAGAAACATTTTGAAAATGGAAGCCAGCCAGGTGTGGTGGCTCACATCTATAATCCCAGCACTTTGGGAGGCAGAGGTGAGATGACTGCCTGAATTCACGAGTTCGAGACCAGCCTGAGCAACATGGCAAGACCTCGTCTCTACAATAAAAATAAAAATATTAGCCAGGCGTGGTGGCGCATGCCTGTGGTTCCAGCTACCTGGATGGCTGAGATGGAAGGATCGCCTAAGTCCAGCAGGTCGAGGCTGCGGTGGCCGTGAGCGTGCCACTGCACTCACTCAAGCCTGAGTGACAGAGTGAGGCTCCAACTCAAACAAAACAAAACAAAAAACCAAAAAACAAAAGAAAAAGAAAATGGAAGCCAAAAAAGCATGATTGATAGAAAAAGGTTGGAGGTGGGGGCTTGAGGGAGTGGATAGAATTAGGACAGAAGTGGAGGAGCTGGTCTTGAAGTGAGAAGGGGTCTATTTCTTCCTTTCTGGAAAGGACAAAGAAAAAGGTCTAGAAAGATAGCAAGTAGAAATATTAGAGCAGAGAGGACCTTATAGGAGAGGGCTTCAGGAAAGTGTGAAGTGAGGTCAGCTGCAATGGGCAGGTTGTTATGAAAATGGTGGCAGGGGTTTTATATGACTGATGTGGGAGGGTCTATGATGGAATCCAAATCGGATGACTCCAGTGGCAGCCTGGCTGTGGGGCAGACCCAGTGTGCCATAACCCTGCCCTCACAAGCTCTCCCAGCAAAAATCTGCAGTGTTAGGCAGGAGCTAGACAGCAGAAGTTCTGCAGTGGGTGAGGTGGAGACAATAGAAGGATGGGATATGAAAGTGGCATGGCGCTTACCATCTGGAGACGCTGCCAGAGTGGTTAAAAGGTGCTACGTAAACAAGTGGGTGGCTGCTGTCCTTTATAAACACTAAGAATAAGTCCCATGTAACGTCTAGAACCTCATCTCCACCACCAAAGTTGTTCCTACGGGTTTTCTAACTACAATGCCTATGTCTCTAAAGAAAAACAAATGTTAATTTTCCACTTTCTTTTGTGCGGTGTGAGTCGGGTTTCTAAGGTTTGAAAATCTCTTCTCCCAACTTGCACTCTCTACGCCTCCTCCCACCCAACCCCACTCCAGAAAAAGAACTCATGACTTGGTAAAGCTAAACTAATTTGAACTTGATTTTTCAATTTTGAAGTCACATTTATGAAGAGGGGGAATAAACACAATAAATTATAAGATGAAAAGACACATTCTCTATCTTTTCTCTAGCTATGCAACTAATTTTCGAATGTTTTGAATGTAAGCTAAGATTTGTTACTTTAAAAATCACTTATATGCTCTTATCACTGTCAGAAAAGCATGGCAAAATGTCCAAATAATGAAGAAACACGTAAACAAAAGCTTTTTCTTACCGAAATACATCACGATGATTTTTGATGTTCCAATCACATTCTCCTTTACTGACAAGTTCAAAGAATTCAGTTCTCCTCCTGCAAGAAAATCAAATGAAGAAAGAAAAAAAAAAAACTGGAATGAAATTTCTCAGTCTGTGGGGTGACATAAATACATTTATGGGAAAAATATAAGACCACCTGAACCAAGTAACTTAATATTTGAAATCATGAGGCTAAAGTGCTATCAAAATAAATCACTTTTTAAAAAATGTTGAGACTTCAAGAAAAGCCACAATCATTTCTGAATGTATTTACAACAGAAGAGATTATAGAGCCATAAAACAGAAAACAATGCGGTGCTGCATTTAGGATTATGAGCTGTGAAGCCCTTGTGACACTTACTGAAAGTCAGAGAAAGAAGGCAAGGACAAATAAAAAGCAGGAACAATTCCAGAATGTTCTTTTCTCATTCAACATAGAATTGAGCTGCATGATGATCTGAGATAAGATAAACTCCCTGGTAGTAAATTCAGATAAATATTTTTTTTCCAGGTTAGAAAAGAACTATTTCACCATTTTGGTTCTTAAACACATAGGCTATGAAGTCAGAAAGTAACTGTGTTTAAATATCGGCTCAGTAATCTACCTGCTACTTTGAAAAATTACTTAAACCCGTTGAGACTCAATATCCTAATCTAACAGGGAGGTTTTAGTTGTTAACTCACAGTTATCATGAGGATTAAATGAGATGACATATGCAAAGCACTTAGTACATTTTAAGCGCCCAACATACACACACACCATGGACATACATTTGGAGATGTATAGTTGTGGAAAAGACAAGAAAGATTATTTTAAAATTGTGAAAATAGGGCTCTTTACTTCTATTTTCAAAACCTTCTTTAATCTAGTTATATGATTTTCACGTTTCTAGTGAGAGAAGAAAAAAAGAAGACATCACCATTTTGATTTAAGAATAATTTCCCAAGTTTTCACCTTCTTGGTACTTCCTAATGAGAGAGTATTTAGATGATCCTGACACACTATTTCCCAAAGTATATCTCTCAATATGCTAGTCTTTTATTTATTTTTATTTTATTTTAAAGATGTGGGATACAATTCAGGATTAGGTATACAAGTGGTCATCGTACAGGTAAAGTTTGGGCCTCCCTTTGGTCCCCATTTTGCCTGGTTTGAGATCAGGTACCTTTATTGATGCTACGTGCCCCTCCTCCCCCTGGCAGTTACCAGCTACTGCCAATCCCTTTCTTATGTATTGTGGAAATGATCAGGTTCTGCTTGTGAGTGAGAACATGTGGTACTCAGTTCTTTGTTTCTGTGATAAATCACGGAGTATTATAGACTCTAAATCCATCCAAATTACTGTGAAGCCCATAATTTTGTTCTTCTTTATGGCTGGGTAATATTCCATTGTGTACATGTACCACATTTTAAAAATCCAGTCCAGTTTCGATGGGTAGAACGATTGGTTCCCTGTTTTTGCTATTGTAAATAGTGCTGCAATAAACTTGAATGTGCAGGTATCTTTTTTATAGAGTGATTTAAGTTCCTCCAGGTATATTCCCAGAAGGGAGATTGCTGGGTTATGTGGAAAGTCAACTTCTAGTTCTTTTAGGAGTTGCCACAGTTTTCCATAGAAGTTGAACTAGTTTGCATTTCCACCAACAGTGCAGAAGCATTCTTTTTGCTCCACATCCTCGCTAGCATCAGTTTTTTGTCTTATTAATGATGGTCATTCTTACTGGAGTTAGGTGGTGTCTCAATGTGGTAGATTTACATTTCTCTGATTAGTGAGGCTGAGCATTTTTTCATGTGCCTGTTGGCTGCTCATATGTCTTCTTTTGAGAAGTGTCTGTTCATATCTTTTGCCTACTTATTAATGCGGTTGTTTCAAAACAGCCAGGTATTGGTACAAGAACAGGCATGTAGACCAACAGAACAGGATAGAGGTTCCAGAAACAAAACCTCAATCTCTCAATCAACTCATCCTCAACAACCCTACATCAACAATCACTGGAGAGAGGAGAACCTATTCAGTAAATGGTGCTGGGAAAACTGACTGACCACATGCAGAAGAAAGAAACAGGACTTCTACCTATCACCATACACAAAAATCAATTCTAAATGGATCAAAGACCTAAACATAAAACCTCAAATGTTAAGAATCTTAGAAAATACAGGAGACACCCTTATGGAATTTGGAATAGGCAACTAATTCCTGATCAAAACCCCAAATGCCCATGCCATAAGAGATAAGATTGACAAGTGGGACCTCATCAAACTGAAAAGCTCCTGCAAAGCAAAGAAACCATTAAGAGAACAGGAAGACAGTCCACAGAATGGAAAATAATATCTGTCAACTGCATATCTGACAAAGGCCTAACATCCAGGATCTATAAGGAACTCAAACATACTGAAAGGAATATGCTAGTCTTAGGAAGTGTTCCAGCCAGGCTCGGTGGCACAGCCTGTAATCCCACGCCTTTGGGAGGCTGAGGTGGGTGGATTGCCTGAGTCCGTGGGTTCAAGACTCGCCTGGGCAACTTGGCGAGACCTCATCTCTACAATAAATCAAAAAATTAGCTGGGCATGGTAGCGCGCGCCTGTCATTCCAGCTACTTGGAAGGCTGAGGCGGAAGGATCGCTGGAGCCCAGCAGGTCGAGGCTGCAGTGGCCGGGAGTGGCCACTGCACTCCAGTCTGGGTGACAGAGTTAGACTCCAACTCAAAAAATAAAAAAATAAGTGTTCCATGTAAAAAAAATTCCCTGGCCAAGTAGGTTTGAGAAATGCTGCCTGCAATATACCTCTCTTTGGAGACACCACTCACGTTAGCCTTTTTTCTAATCCTGTTTAACCACAAAATTCCAGATAGTATCAATGCTTTAAAAAATATACTTTGGAAATAACTCCATGACATATTGTTTATGGTGGAAGTCAGAGTAGGATCTTAGAAACTTAGTGCTAAGCCATTGTAATTTGGGAGACAAATGACATGACACTAAGGATAACTGACTCCTCTGTCTGGCCTGGGGTGCCCATTACTGTATAGACTAACTGTCTGGATTTCTTGTCAATGGGTCAGAATCATATTCAACTTATTTGAAAGGGGTCAGGTCAGGAAGACAAGTGAATGGGTCTCTTCCATATTTGAGACACAAAGACAGGTTTTGGATCTTTCCTTTTCAGTTGAGACAGGTCAAGGCTATATTACACTATGGGACAATCTCCAAAACAGCCTTACAGCAATCTGGAGAGATAGCATTGCACAATTACATAGAAGGGCCCAGAAATCCTCTTCTCTTTGGGTGGGCAGGTATGTACAGATCTTTTCTTCATATAAATTTACCATCTTCTTCATTTGGCCCACTCCCTTCTTCATTAGCATGGTCATGCCCTTTTCATATCCCCACCACTGACTGCAAACAGAAATAGAAAGAGAGAAGGTGAAGTGGAAAGAGCCAAGGTTTGAACTCACACTGTTCTGGGCTTAATGTTGACTGTCACTTAGTAGCTGTGTGATCCTGAGTAATTCCACATTGCTGAGCCTCAGTTTCCAGCTTGGTGGTAAGAATTTAAGATAAGGTGTACTAAGTGTTTGACACTGGTAGATACTCAGAATCTGATAGCTTTGGTTAATGTGTAAATAATATTAGCAGTACTACTGCCAACGACAATACACAGTGGACTAATTGGACTACACGGAGATTAAAGAGTCCACCCACTTCTCCCCTTTCACTGAATAGAAATCATCATCTTTTTTTTTTTTTTTGAGTTGGAGTCTCACTCTTTGTCACCCAGGCTGGAGAGCAGTGGCATGCTCATGGCCACCACAGCCTTCCAAATAGTTGATGATTTTCAAAAGAAGAAATCATCTTCTTTTAAATTATCATGGAGCAGAAAGTTGGGTTTAACAAATATTTATTGAACATCTATGCCAAGTCATTATTGGGCTGTATAGACACAAGACATGGTACTACTTTAAATGTCTCTGAGTTCAGCCAGGGCAACCAACAAATAAATAGGTAGTTCTCACATTAAATGCAATACCAAAGGTAAAAATAATATTTGGACAAGAATGAGGTGAGAGAGGTATGCACCTTGGGCATAAAATTTAAGTGGGTACCAAAACACAGTAATCAAGAGAAATATTTTAGTGCAATATTTAAAAAATAAATGCAAAAAAAATCCATGATGAGCAAAATAACAAAATTCTAAATAAAGACAAGATCTGACCCTGTACTTTCACTACTCATCTCACTTGCCTCACCCTACTCCCAGCCCTGATGAGAGTAATATTTATTGGGTCCTTACTTTGATCCTGGCAGACCTGCTGAGTTCTGTCACTTGCTATCACCTGCCCGACTTTGAGTAGGTTACTTAACCTTGCTGGGCTTCAGTCTTAGTAGTAAAAGAATAACAGTAATGGGAGGATTAGTTGGCTGGTGGGAGGATTAAATAAAATAATTTATGTAACATTCTTGGCAGAAAGCCTGGCAAAAGTTGGTGATTAGTAAGAATTAGTTACTGTTATTAAACTTAGAAGGATTGAGAGCCTGGCCCAAGGTCTCACAGGTGGTGAGTGGCAGAGCTGCGACACACAAATTGCCCTACCTGTTGGAATAACAGCTGCCCCAAGTAGCTAGGATATGTCCAGGGTGTCCTGGGAGCATAGAGGAAGGCACTTTGCTCAGTCAAAGGATTAGGGAGAATCATAGGAGACTTTCTGAAAGAGCTTGTCCATCACCATCCTTGTCATCATATGTACCCAAATGGCCATTTCAATTCTATAAATTATTCTACTTATTCTTAGAATAACTAGAATGTAAGCTGCATGAGGACAGGGGCCTGGCCCATTTTTGTTCACTCCTGCACTGTGGTACCCTAGAACAATGCCTGACATGTAGTCGGAGCTCAGTAAATATTTGTCGAATTGGTGATTGAACGAAAACAAGTATCTGAAAAGCTACTCATTTAAAAAAATAACTCTTTAGTCACTGGTTTCCCTAGACTTGCTCAAGGGGCTTCATGGGTGCAATTTGGGGAGATTAAGATATGAAAAAAGCATAAAATCTAT